TAGTTGGTGATTGAGGAATTCAGGAAGATATTTTCCTTATGGTTCGTAAGGCTTCCCTAACCTACTGAGTGAAGAGTGTCTTTCGGTGGGTCTAACTGGGTTTCCCGCCTCACTCGTCTGCCGCCGTGCTGTCAAAAATAAACGTTTCGAAACGGGGTCGGTCTCCTACAGTATCACAAACTGTTGGTTGATCATTTGGTCAGATAGTTTGCTAGAAAAACTGGTTTCTAAACTGTGAACCTGAAAAACACGCCTCGGATCCCCACAACTAATGTTAAGCCGATTCTTCTATACGGTTTAGAGACGTGGAGAGACACTTAAAGCGACTTGTAAGGTCTTCAGACTGTTATTAACGGTTGTCACAGCTCCACTGTGTGGATAAAATCTCCAGGAGGGATCAGAAATTCAGGAACTGTGGGACCGAAGTAAGCAAGTTCCTATTGCCTAGGAGGTATGTTGAGAAACAATGCAGATGGTTCGGACATACGTTGGGGAGATCGTTTAATGACATTACGCGTAAGTCCCTTGAGTGAAATTGCCAATGTCCAGGTTTTACTACACTGGACCTCACGCAATCCTCGGAAGATTTTCAGAAACTAAGCTTAATAACTAACATGAAAAGAAACGATAACGCATATCGGTGACTCCAGAACCGTTTATTCTTGCACCAACATACAGCCAACCATTAAGTTGTTGTACAAAATGTCTAAGAATAAATGTTTTAACAATAAATCACAACAATACCTCTGATTGTTTTCTCTCTTTCAACGAACTGCGAACGATGAGACGATGACAGCCGTGTTGATGAATTCCGAGAAAAATATCGAGTTGTGTTTGAGCAAACCACCATGGATTGATCGTTCAATCTCCAACGGCAGTGACAGAAACTTTATTTTGAAACAATGCGTTGGGTGTCCGAGGGTGACTGCTACCACTTTAGTGGCACCTGGAACTGTGCTGTCGTTTGGTACAGTGGGACTCCCCCTGAGGAATGTTTATATGAGTGCACTATTTGGAGGGCATCCACAGCTTATGAGGATCAGGGTCCTTGAGCAGACAGTTCAGAACGAAGAACCTTTCTATTTAGAGGGAAAAACTCACGTCAGTGTTCAGAGCATGCTCTAAAATATTCCACCATCCTAAAATTTCATTAGCAAAGCCGCCGAAAGTTGAGCTCCACGTTTCGAACAACTGAGCCTACAGAAATAGGAAAGTAAGTTATTTAAAGTGGAATCACTTCCAAAAGGCTAAAGAAAATCTTCTCCATTTCTAGAAAACGGATCAAATTATGCTGTGAGATAACAGTAGTCTTTTGCTCTAACCATATAACTTCAGTGGTGAAAAATACTGATATTCCCTTTGGTTCCGAGCGGAGCACGGGGCCACATAGGCATATCTCTATTTTGTCTTCGTCCCAGCAGTCCTTTTTATTTTGCTGGGAGACTGTTCTCAAGCGTTCATCTCCTCCTCAAACGGCCTCCATGTGTCATAATCAGACTCTCAACCCATCGTTTTTCACTAGAGTGCCTGGAACGTGACGTCACCAGATGGTCTCCTGGGTATGTATCTGATCTATCTCTGCTTCCTTCAGCATATTTGTCGGGTAGTTTTTTCTTGGTTGATTTGTTCCCAGGGTTCCTTAGTTGCTGGTCTCTCCCGACAGTTTGATCTGCATTGTGGAGCTGAGGCGGCCGTTGGTAACAGTCTGAAGTCATTTCGATATGTTTTTGGTGACACTTCAAGTCCGCTCCATCTGACTCTGCTGCCTTCACAGCTGTTAGTAGATTTCTAGCATACCTGAGACAGATATACAGTTTTCCTTCGAAATCGCTTTGAAAGAGTTTAGGTGCATTCCACACAAATTCCATGGTGCTAAAAATCACTTGATTTACCCTGATGGTTACAGTGGAAGTTTCATCCGTCAGTTTCTCAGTGTTGAACTTGAGTAATGGCTCGTCTCCAGGAGCTTTGAATGCTTTCATCCCGATCTTGAAGGGCCTTTGCATTCGATGATGATTTGATGCGTATCCGCATCTTTACGCGTTTTCGTGTTCAGCAGACCGCGTTTCTACTGTTTTGGGATTTCAGGGAAGTCCATCCTGAATCTGAGTATCTGTTAGACAAAACCCATGTCATTGTGTATATATTTTTTGCCTCCAAACGCTTCTTCCTGACAACAAATCATTGAGTAGACAGAAATATGAATGGAGTTTCCTGTTGTCGTTAGTTTCAGCAAGAGCTTCCCCATCTGTTGTCGGTTCTGTTCTTATGTTGTTTGCTGTCAGATTAGCATTCATGTCGCCCATTAGGAACATGATGTGGCTATTCGGTGTCTTGTTCATTACTGCTTGCATTCGCTTGCAGAAGTCTTCCATATCTGTTGATCTGCGCTAGCCGCAGGGAGTAGTTTAGTTGAATCCCACTGTCGATATCCTGGAAGAGATTGGTTTGTTCATCTGAGTATATAGGCTTATCATGGACGCTTAATCAGTTTTGAAGTTTGTTACAGACACTGGGCAAATAACGCAACACACAGGTGAACCTGGAAAGTGTGTATGTGGGACAAAACGAGATTAGGCGCGAAGACGGCGTTTATTGATGGAATTGTTGGACAATCTGACAACTTCAGCGTCAGTGTCCATAAAAATTCTCGATAAACAAGGAATGAACACTTCAAAAAATATGCATCAAATGACATGTGTTCACCTGATGGGTTTACATGTCCTAAACTCTTCATGGAACAAGCAAACTATACATTTTAGTACTTACTGAGTCCTTTTAGTCATATTTTGGAAACCCGTCTACTTTCTCATTGTCTGTAGGTATTCACACGAAACTTGTTTTTCTCCCGGCTTGTATTGCATTAGTTTTATCGTTTTTATGGCGAGTCTCCTTATTACTGACTGATCTGGAGAGTACGAAACGGTTGACACAATAGATCGGAAACATTTCCCGACACAGACTTAAAACAAGCTACGAAAGTTACCAAAGCAGGATTTAGGGATATTATCAAATTTTGATAGAACTCTTCAGCTGTATACTCTACTTATAGGCATGTTAAATTAAAATAAAATTCGTTAAAATATTCCTTTTTGACGGCAACAGTTATCAGAGGAAATTGCATTTTGGCACTGGAATAACACCAAAGGTCTTCACGATCATTGGAGCTAATTCGCATGAGCCAATCATAATTCCCTTCAGGTTAGTTGTATTTTTCAAATTATGAATGGTTCCACTTTGCGAGGATCAGAGGGGGGTGTCGCATTACTCACCAGTTCACGGATTAGATATTACAAAAGCACCTCTGACCAAAGCTCAGTTAGATTTTTGAAGACATTTAAATTTGAAACACGTGACTAAGAATGCTTGAGAGAAAACATGAGCACTTGGATGTTATCTATGGAGAGACTTAATATATTATGAGTGAGGTGAATTTTCAAAGACCACTTTTGTCGGTCGTTCAAATTGTTGTCCATAAAATGCCTCCGGGGTCATATTTCATTGTTTGTTAATTCCATTCTGGGATAAAATTCATACGTCACTGCCTAATTATTGCTGTTGTGTTGTTGTTGTCCGAATTATGACACATGGATTCATAGAAAAAGGTGGAAATAGCTCCAGCTATAATGATTGGTACATGCCTATAACTATCCGAAATTTGCGTATCGTAAAGAATGGAAAGGGGTTTGATGGATATACAGGAGTTTCCCTACATAATACCAACAGAAATCTAGAATATTGGGCAAAAATGGCAATCCCGAACGTGCGAAGGAAATTCGGAAGGATGTGTGATCCGAATTTGTATCTAACGTCAAATGCGGCTTAAGATGTACTGTCGCAACGTTTCGACGGATCAAGGCCAGAGGGAATAAAATGGTACAAACCCACCTAACAAACGTAAAATCCTGTAGAGCTTAAAGAGGGAGAAACTTCTGACCATATATTCACACTGTATATGGATAAACCAATAATACTAAAAATTTTGAAAATTTAAAAGAAACTTTTGTCCCGGAAACACCTTACATAGTGAAAAATCGAATGTCTGATTAGGAGTACGATGTGGTTATGAAAGTATTCGATCTGCATCTAGCACTCTCACTCCATGAGTACACTTACCCCATCGTTATAGCTGTTAATTCATGCGCTTGATGACAGAAAATAGTCTTAGGCGAACTTTAGGCTGTCAAAGCCATTAACCTGAAACAGTGAAACGTCATTATGAAAGATGTTTTGCGTTTTATTCTTAGAGAAATGCAACTTTCTGCTAGTGGATCGCGTCAGATTTTAGTGGTTCTCAACATGTAATATATGCATATACATGTGTATTTTTTATTTGTTTTGATTATAGCTTGATTCCACAGTGTTTTAGTGCAAGTATGAAGTTTTTAGTATGTGACATCATTAGCCCAAATTTTTGCAGGCCGATCATTGATATCAGGCGTGCATCGGACCCCAGACTATGTGCATGGTCGGCGAGAGTCCTAACCACTGTGCCACCGACGCCGAAAGGTGCAGCTTCTATATGGAGTAAACGATTTGTGTAAATAGCATTACTTTCTAACTATCCTATCTTCCTCATTATCGCGATACTTTGACACAGTCCACCTGAAACACTACTCATTGCAACCAATATGCTAAGTGTGTCGCAGTCAGATCACATGAGGCGGACACCAACATAACTAGCCAAAAATAGGAATTTCCATCAATCTAGATAACATATAACACAATTTTATTAAAATTTATTGTCAAAAAAATTTCCAAGCGGAACTTCAACAGTACGTGATAAATAAGTCCAGCCAAAATATACTCTGTGTTCATAACTAGGGGCATGACTGATTCCTTAAGGCCATTTGTAAGCTATTATAGTTAGTCGTCACCAAGTTGTCCTGAAGGGCCTTCTGGTATCCTTACAGAGGAACAAAGTGAGGTGGTTGACACTAGCTAACCAGCTATTTCAACATTGGAACTAAAGGCGCAGAAGTTGGCGGATACTTATTATTGCGCGCCAGTTGAAAGTGAGCGGAACACTAAGCGTGACTGTCTAGTTGAAATAAGGATTTATATCACCAGAAATGAGTGCAATATTAATACTAGGAATTATTTATGGGTAGTCAGATAAGAGATTCTGGGACACCAGTCACTGCCATCCAATTGGGTCGGAAGCAAGGCTACACTATGCGCTGACTCGATGCTCTGTGATTAAAAACCATTGTGCTGAAATATTGTGTGTAACCCCGAAAAGCAACCTAGAATGAGATGTTAATAACATCCCATTTAGTTTCTGAATTCAGTAGCGTTCATGCTTTCCTTATCGGTACTCTCTATTCCGTACAAGCATATATCTCCTTCGAGAATGTAGACGTCAGAAAATGCGGAAAGCCTATGTGAGTACTGAAATTATAAAGAAAGTGATACAGCCAAGTTTTTTTTTTACTTCGATAACTTTGGAATCATTTCGGCGTGTGATTTTTACTTTCTTCATCTCGTGGTACATTTTTGTTTTTTCCCATTGACCCCTGAGTTTCCAGTTTCTTCAAAACTGCGTGATTCCTAGTCTAAACTCACGGATTTTCACACTCCTGGAGTTGTAGCATGCTAATTCCCTTGTTTTACACTCTGTCATCCAGATTTCTAAAGTTACCAACCACTTGGCTGTCCCCTCCCCTGTATATATTCTTCCGTTGCAGTTATATTTTTCTACTCAATCTTTGTGTTGTCTAATAGATTGTGGCATCTCTGCGTTGGCAACTCGGCCTGTCTCAAACATGGGTGGATTCCCACAGAATGTAGTAATTTGATAATACTAAAGAACGGAATTGTTTGACTTCATTGTTTAGTTCCAAAAATAACCTCCATTAGAGTATTAATTACTTTTCATCAGGTCGCTGAGGTCTAGTATATGACATTGACAATTTATGAGGAGAATCAAGCATCAAATGCGCACTTCACGAGTAGTCCCTATGGAGCTGATGTGTGACATTCAACACTAAGAAGATCCTTATATGGACGGCATTTTATTTTTCCACCCGCTACCTTCTAGAATATACAGAGATAATAGGCATCGGTGCAGAGTAATTGAAAACATAAGATGTATCCTTCATTATTTGCTAATTATACAGCTTGAGCAATATCCGACCTACATATATGAGTAGTCGCTTCACTAACAATCTTTGCAGGAAGATTCAAACTCTACTTATTTTTGGTAAAAATGCCCGCGCTGTACTTCTAAATTGATTCATTTACTCTCAGAGTTTTCCATTTATGGATAAGTAGAGGGCGAACATTGCCAATTTTAGAGGTTTAATTTCCCTTATTATTTGCCTGAAACTAAGCAGGGTGAGCAGATCAGTAGTCGCTTGAAGGTTGATCGCAAACTTCAGCGATATATTGTTTTTGCTTAAAGTACGACGTTTCGAAAGCAATAGTTAGTGATGCTGACCGCCTTATATTGTTCTGTTACTCATATATTCCTGTCGTTTGATGGCTTTTATCTTGACTTGGTGTTAAGATTCACTTACTGTACTTGTCTATCGAAACCAAATTGTTCATAAAAGTTGTCTCTTACTCTGTCACCAACGTCATTGGAAGTGATCTACTCCCGCATAAGAAGTGTATTTTGCAATCTTGTGTGGATCTGAAAGCTAAATCGTTCGGTTAGAGTTCTAAAAGCAGTTAAGACACTGTCTTTACATTTTGGAAAGAAGGCTAACCCTATGAATAAAGCAGTAAATTTTTAGTAGTTTTAAGTAACTGAGATGTCATTTCTTAATTGAACCTTGCTGAAATATACACACGGCTTTTTAAATTTAACTCTTAATGAAACAGTGGATTTTGTAAATGTGAACTCATTCCGCAACCTGTGAAATAATCAGTTGTCACTACCCAATTAATCTTCCATCATCGCTGGAATATGTGTAGTTCTGACTGAGTCTCAACACAGTACTTTGTACAAAAGTGCGGCATTTCAAGTTGATGGACTCAATATAGCATACATATACGGAGAAAAAATATGCAAAGGAGTTGTAATGAACGGAAATGTACGGGAAGATGTATAAGTACTTGGACAATAATGGGAATTTCATGTATCTGGGAGTCCAGGAGAAGTGATTGCATCTACGCCATTGCCAAGGATTTTGAGCCTTGTGACCAGCAGTCTCCGACCATTGGATCTTAGCTACTTATGGGTCTATGCTAAGCAGTCAGCTTTTGACTTGGCCACTCCTGATTTCTTTCCAACCTAATTGTTTGTTAGCTAACAGTGTGTAAAGTTCATTTCTGCCCTAATATACATATTTTTATTGGTCATCATTGTTAGTTTGATGCCTGATATCTTAAAATGATGGATTGTTTTGCTAGTCTCTAAATCAGTGTCATTTAGACACTTGAGTAATAAAAATCTTTTTGAATGTGACACCAGTAGCGGGATATATTGCATCGACAAAAACTTATATTAGTTTATATTATCTTTTAGAAGGCCATGGAGACATGTAATTCTGGTTGTGGAGATGAAAATCTCGTTACAGAGTGAGTTTCTCAGTTTTGTTTCACACTGCCAATTTTGTGATTAGGAGATATGGTGACGTGAGAGTATGTTTTACCGTATAAACTGTAGTGAAATGAAACTCATATAGGCCATATTTCTTGATAAGAGCAGTGCAAGCTTGTTTACTTCTATTAGATATTTGTTAAGGCAGAGACTTCTTTTTGTTTTTGCAGCTTTTCGCTTAAAAATATACCTTGTTTGAGAGGTCTTGATTTACTATTTCTAATGCTACTTAGACTTCTCTTGGTTGTAGCTATTCATTTATTATTTAAATATACTGATATATTTCAATATTGTGCCTTTTAATCTCGTGATTTCAATATATGGTGAGCTCTTGCGGTTCACCTATAGACAATTTTAGCACTATAGAGTAGATTTAATTAAAATTGGAAACAAACTTAAAATAATTAGTTTTATAACTGAACATTTGAAATAATAATTTGAGCTTAAAATGAAAGTTAGGAGTGTGAATATAAATTAAAAGAGCCTTCGAAATACATAATTGCACAGGATTAAGATATAATTGTAAAATAGTTATTTTAAACGAATTATAAACGTGAACAAGAAAAGCATGGAAACAAGCTTAAAATAACTAGTTTTATAACTGAAAAAAATTAGGTGAATTTAATAAAGACTAAGGATCAGACACACAGCGAACGAAAAAATGCTCAAAAGGAAAAGCGAGAACGAAGAAAGACGAAGAAGAGAAAAATAAAACGGAAACAAAGGGAACATACCAAACCATATCCATGGTAGTTGTAGAGGTTGGACTAATTTCTTTTGAACACAGCTCCGGCTTATCGATGCTTATTGCGAGGGCTCCTGCAGTACAAAGAAGTCGGAAACATACTGCTCTTGGTAGGTTTCTGTTGACTTTGCAAATCACTTTGAAAGAATCGGTTGAGATGTTATGGGAGGTGTTGACCAGATGTTCAATAATGGCACTTCTGATTGAACCGGTGCCTCCTCTTTGCGGCCACGCTGGGTAGTGTTCTCTAACACGTGTAGAAAGGACGCACATACAACGACCTATGTACATAGCTCCACACGAGCAAGTGAACTGATATATGCACATTGAATTGGTCATATGCGAGAGTTTGTCCTTCGTGTTGTTTCGAAGTATTGGACGGCTAGAGAATGTCACTCTTAGTGTTGCTGCAGGGAAGGTCTTCTTTAAAGAGCTTGATATTCTCCTCTTCAGGATATCAGCTGCCAAATCTCCCTTGAAATTCAGATTTAGATACAGCGTTTTCTTTGGCGCTGAATCGCATTCTTCTCTTTTAGGTTTAGGTTTCATGTTCTTTTCAACAAAACGTGTCGGGTAGCTATTTTATTCCTCAAAAATATCCTGGCTCAAGATGGCTACCCGACACGTTTTGTTGAAAAGAACATGAAACCTAAACCTAAAAGAGAAGAATGCGATTCAGCGCCAAAGAAAACGCTGTATCTAAATCTGAATTTCAAGGGAGATTTGGCAGCTGATATCCTGAAGAGGAGAATATCAAGCTCTTTAAAGAAGACCTTCCAGCCAACTTGTCTACAGTTTCTGAGTGTGGTAGTAAGGTGAGTTATAACTACTCTTTTTCTGACACCTACCTTGTGATTGTAATCTCTCATTTTGCTGTGTGCATATATAGGAATGAGAGAACTGAGAATCCATCAGTGGATTTATCTTTCTTCCCTGAGCATACATTTGGTGAAAATGGCTATTTAAACTTGCTGCGATATATACTTGCCAAAGGTATAGAGCGGACTGATCGCACAAAAACGGGAACATTTGCGGTGTTTGGTCCACAGCTTCGTTTTTCTCTGAGAAACAATGAGTTTCCTCTCTTGACTACAAAAACAGTAAGTCTTTTAGTTAATTGTCGGATTTCGGATTTCATTCGTTGATTGCTTTTAAATACACTATAAGCACACGCACAATTCTTCGGTTGTGCTGTGGCAGTCGGTTGATAATTGAGTTTTTCTGAGTAGCTTCATATTCCCATTATTTTATGTTGCATTTAAGATGGTTGCTTCCATTTTTTACGTTTATTATTATTATTACTTTTTGTATTACATTTACCCGAATACCAAGGCGATATTTTCTGCTGAATATTGCAATTTTCACACTGTGTATGAATGAATCATGGTTTCAAGATATTTCATACATATCTTTTGAATATAATTGTATGTGAGTGCTGGTGTCCCACTGTTCGGTTTACACAGAATGTGTTTCTATATGATACTTCGATAATAAGTCCTCCCAACACAAAAGGCAGTTTGATCCGAATATAGAAATCTTACGTAGTTTGCATGAGTGATACGTTATTCGCTAAATCTGTCTTGAATAAGTCGTTTGCTTCAGTTGTTTGAATCTGCTCAGTTTGTTTTCGCACTATATATTGCAAGTATAATTCCCAGTGCCTCATTTTCGCCGACTAATCTGTATTTGAAATTAACCAGTTGTCTTGGGTTTCGCATAGGAATGTTCTTCCTAAACAGATTAAATATTGCCATCCTCCTAAAAGTTTTTGAAATCAGGAGTTTACGAAGGGTAGGACATTATTTCACGTATTAAGCTCATTGAGGTGGGCTCCTTAGACCATTCCATTATTTTTCAAGTATTGGTTTTGTTGGGATTTTGTTTGATTGCATGGAGGATTTATTCACGAGCTGACATCAGTTAGAGAACCACTGGAAAACCTGGGAGTACTGGACAACTGTTTCGTCCTAGTTTGGGACTCTTCAACAGTACGCACCACCGGGATTCGAACCCAGGACCTTCTGGTTACAAGGCGAGCTCCTAGACCATTGAGCCACTGGGACCATTATTTACTTTAACTGCAGTATTAGTTTTTCTTATATATGGGGTGAGTTAGGTGTTTTTACTAATGGGTTCACATTCTCATGCTATGAAAATTCTCTATGGAAATGTTTGGACATTGCAGATATGTTGCTTATCATGGGCCTACAGTAGAAAGGTATTCAAAGGTTATTATTTGTTTCGTCGTTACTTCTTTGAGACAAATGACTCGTTCTTATTTCAATTTACTAGGTATTTTTTCGTGGAATTGTAGAAGAGCTCCTGTGGTTTATTCGTGGATCTACTAATTCTCGTGAACTTGCAGAGAAGAATGTGCATTTTTGGGACGCGAATGGGTCCCGCGAGTTTTTGGATAATTTAGGTTTCACAGAACGTGAAGAAGGTAAGTCGGTCAGATAACTTTGAATGAAAAAATGTTTTTGTTTTCGCTTGCTCAATAAGTGAATGGAACTGGTGGTGTCTGTGTTTTAGCAACACCGATCACATGAGCGACACAATCATTTTCGCTTTCCATAGTAGTAGTATTCGCCTATTCACACGGACAGAAACAATACCGTAATTTTTAGAACTGTCACTCGATACAGATTTTTCATCTACAGTTTATTGTGTGAAGGATGATAATACTACTACCCAGTTGCCTGAATTGAAATTAATGGAGCCCGGTTTGGACTATGAATCCATTGGATGAAAGTTTAGAGCTCTAGTCACTGAACTACATTTGTCTCATCGTGAAAAGCAAAGGCAGCATACTACAAATAAAGATAGAGCTTCATTTGTTCACTGATGTAAACTGGGGATAATGTAAAAAGCGAAGAAATACGTTGAGATTGAGTATTCTGTTTGCTTTCAACATAAAGTGTATTTTAATCGTTGATGTCAGACGACTTCAAAAAGCCTTGTGGTTCATTGGTTTTAATACGTGGTTTAAGTGACGGATCCCGGGCTGGAATACAGGGTGATTGAGTAATACCATCAGCGCTCACACAATAAGTGTGGCTTTTTAGGCCGGTACCTGTTAACTGAGTTCTCGTCAACTATCAGTCAGTTGCATTCATTCATCTACTGGTAATCTGTATATATGCAGCTTAATCTGTCTCATTATTTATCTACCCCAGGTCTAGATTGTAAAAGCGTATTTTTAATTATTTTAAATTTCCATTAAATCATTTATTTGCAATCAGTTGTGTTCTCTAAGCTGGTCAGTTTAGTTGCGCAGCTTTCGTCTTCCTTCTGGACAACATCTTCAGCGCAAGTTTTAGCATAACGTGAACTGATTTAAATTCTTCAATTTAAATTCTCCATAATTAAACCAACCAGCTCATAGAACATAACTAATTTCAAATCATTCGCGTGAGGCACAATTCTTCTCTATTACTTCAAAACATTTTTTCCGTAGGTGTGTAGTTATTGGCAGTAAGGGGTATTCGATAATGCTAATTTTTAATTTTGCTCCTACTGTTCAGGCTTATTGCTTATTGCTGAATCCCAGTCAGAGGGCATAGTTTGTTGAAAATAACTTCAGTGAACAAATCCATGTGGTCGTATTACTGTCGAAGTTGATCATACCAGTTTATTCCAACTTCGCTGAAGATATTTTGTGACTAGTTACAAAATGAAGCGACTAAATTCCTGAGTTGTTCTAATCTATTTGTCGTATAACTGTTGATCGACTTTCGTGACTAACGGTTCATTCTTCACCACATAGTGAACGACACAAATAAAAGATCTGTGTTTTAGGAAAAACTTGAATTTCAATTTTGTAGTGAGGTTTTTCGTTATGTTTACTTGCTCTTCATACTTTTATCCATTTTAGGCGATCTAGGTCCAGTGTATGGTTTCCAGTGGCGTCATAGTGGTGCCGATTACGTTGACTGTAAAACTGACTATACTGGCCAAGGTGTGGATCAATTAGCAGATGTGATAAAGCTGATAAAAGAACGTCCGTGGGATAGAAGAATTATAATTGTAGCTTGGAATGTTAAGGGTGAGTAAGTATATAGAAAATCAAAACAAGTGATTCAGCGAATTTATTATCAAACTGTACAATCGCATATATATGGTTTTTTAAGAAACAATATCCGATGAGGGAATTAGGTCAAAGGTGTGAATACATGAAATAATAATAGTTTGAAATGCAATTAAAATTTTTGTGATTATAATCATAGTTAAATGTCAAGTGGCAAAATAATTAATGTCATATATAGAATAATACATAAGGTTTATAGATTTTGGAAAGACATATATAATTATAAGATTAGTAGACGAATATAAAATGTTACGTAACATGGTGTGAAATTTGATAAGATAGAATTCAATATTGTAAAAATAAAAAATATAAAAATTAATAATTTTGGGTTTGAAATGACAAGTGGGTCAAGTGGAAAAGATTCAGAGTGAGAATAGTAATAATGATAATGATAATAAAAATAATCGTAGTAATAAGGGAAAGGTACATAGAAAATCTAAATAAATAAATGTTTATCCCTCCACGGCCAAGGCAGAAGTAGGGATTGTACGTACTTCCTTTGTACACAAAGGTCTGGCTTAAAGTCATGAATTACCAAGGCCTTAGCTGTCTTTAGAGGTCTGTAACGAAGAAAACGCGGGAAGTTAGCATGGATTCTATATATTATCTTGAAATCATGGTCAGGGTTGACCGAGTGACAGAAGTCGATCAGGTGTTCCAGAATAGAGCTTCGCACACACTTCCTTTCTCCCTTGTAAAACCAAGCTGGAATATGTTCTCGTATCCGTGTGGAAAGCGTCCTCTGACTACGGCCAATGTACCTTGCTCCACAAGAGCAGGTGAACTGATAGATGCACATGGAAGCGGTCAGACGGGGAGCTTATCTTTTACAGAGGTAGAGAATAATTTGCGGCTCGTGAACATCATATGTAATTTTGCTGCAAAGAACGTCTTACTGACTGATTTAGAGAGACGATTTTTGAGCATATCTGAAGCTTGATCACCTTTGAATTCCAAGTTCGTGAATAAGGTTTTCTTTAGAACTGAGTCAGTGACCAGTTTAGACTGCTTATCTTTCATGTTGCTGTCAATAAATCTGTTAGGGTAACCATTTTCTGCGAGTGTGGCTTTTAAAAAGTCAAGTTTTGAGTCAATGCAATCAGAACTACAGATTTTCCTCATCCTAAAGCAGAGCGAATTAATAAGGTTCTTTTTCCTGGAAATAGGCACCCAACTGTAAAAATTAGTTAGTTGTCCGTTCTATGTACGTTTCCGGTGGATAGATCATTTGAGAGGTCCGTCATTACGTCTGCTAAGGCATACATCAAGAAACGGAATACTTACTTCGGATTCCTTTTATATGGTGAATTGTGAAGAAGGATGGCAGTTGTTGAAAGCAAACAAGACATCAAGAATTACGTTATTATCGCAGCCAACGAAAGTGTCGTCTACGTATCTTTTATAGATGTCAAAATGACCGATGGTTTGACTAAGTTGAGAATTTTCAAGCTTTCCCATAAAACAATCGGCCAAAAAGGGTCCAGTGGTGATCCCATGGCGATGCAATCTCTCTGTCTAAAAATCTCATTGTTGCAGATGAACTGAACATTCAACGTGCATCTCCATAAAAGCTCTTTGGATTGTCAGCAAACCTATTTCTAAACTATGTGTATCAATATAACCACATAATAGTTAATCACAGTTAAGTGTTAAGTGGCAAAGTAATTAATATCATATATAGCATAGTTCATAGGATGGATAGAACTTGGAAAAGGTGTGCAATTATAGGATTAGTAGACAACTCGAATAAAATAAAAACGTTACGTAATATTGTGTGAAATTTGGTAACATAGAATTTAATGTTGCAAAACAATTGATTTAGAATGACAAGTGGAACAAGTGAAATAATACCGGGGATAGTTAAAAGTGAGTATAGTAATAGTAACAATTGACGTAATAAAGGAAGAGTATACAAATTGAATAGACAAAATGAAAAAAATTGATGGAGCCAAAATATGATTAGAGATTACCATACTTTAGCATAGAGGGATTAAGACCATGCAAGTTGGAGGGGTTGAACGAACTTTGTCTGTACACAGATCTGGCTTACCTGTTTCGATAGCCAAAGCCTCAACAATACAGATGAGTCGTGTACGCAGGGATTTCGGTAAATTACTTTTGCCTTGTAGATGACTTTAAAGGCGGAGGCTATAGAGATAGGGTGATAATTACCGACCAGATGTTCAATGATCGCGCTTCTTATTGCTCCATTTCCACCTCTTCGTAACCATGCAGGATAGCGTTCTTGCACCCTCTTGGACAAAACTCGAGTCGAACGACCGATATACTTAGGTCCACACGAGCAGGTGAATTGATAAACTTACTGTTGTCCGAAGGTAGATGTGACATTTTATCAGTGTAATCGTTACGATCCATAATAACAACACCTGCACCCTTGTCAGGGCGTGTCAATAGTATATCTTTGTTATGCGTCAACAGTTTAAGTTCTTCTTTGTGCTCTTTAGTCAGAAGACTTTGGCATTTTTGATTTAGCATTAAGGTATTGATTGCAAGAATCAGTGATTGTCGATTTGAAGCACTGAAAATCCTGGTCAGACAATGGTATGAGATCATAAGTTTGGCTGAGTAGATTCTCAAACTCGACATGTGTATGCAGCTTGTTGACACTGAGATTAACATCGCAAAACTTCGAACCCAGGGACAAGGCTTCCGTTTGCAATTTCGATAGGAATATAAAGGAGTGACTGAACACATATCTCTCAGAATTCTCAAGAAATTTCCGAAGACATTCGATAGATTTTAGGCTATTAGACAGCTTAGAATTAAAAGACAGTGTTTGTTTGTTGATGACCACGTTGACATATTCATTAAACGTCCGACGTTCGTCAATCGATAAGTCATATAAAGCAGAATATCTTTGTGAAATATTCCTTTCTAACTCAGGGATGCGCGAACTGAGAGAATCAATGTGTGTCTCTTGAGAGATTTCGCATTAGGATATATTGATTGCGTTGGAGCACTTTACTATACCATTTCGGATACTCATGATTATTGGTGCATTCATTAAGAAAACAAATCTCCGCTCATACCACAACAAGTCCGACAGAGTAACGCAGAAACCCATTGAGTTCCTTTATTGTCGAGGGATCTTTGCTATATGTTATAGTGGGAAAATTTTAATGCATGGAAAATTCCCACTATAACATATAGCAAAGATCCCTCGACAATAAAGGAACTCAATGGGTTTCTGCGTTACTCTGTCGGACTTGTTGTGGTATGAGCGGAGATTTGTTTTCTTAATGAATGCACCAATAATCATGAGTATCCGAAATGGTATAGTAAAGTGCTCCAACGCAATCAATATATCCTAATGCGAAATCTCTCAAGAGACACACATTGATTCTCTCAGTTCGCGCATCCCTGAGTTAGAAAGGAATATTTCACAAAGATATTCTGCTTTATATGACTTATCGATTGACGAACGTCGGACGTTTAATGAATATGTCAACGTGGTCATCAACAAACAAACACTGTCTTTTAATTCTAAGCTGTCTAATAGCCTAAAATCTATCGAATGTCTTCGGAAATTTCTTGAGAATTCTGAGAGATATGTGTTCAGTCACTCCTTTATATTCCTATCGAAATTGCAAACGGAAGCCTTGTCCCTGGGTTCGAAGTTTTGCGATGTTAATCTCAGTGTCAACAAGCTGCATACACATGTCGAGTTTGAGAATCTACTCAGCCAAACTTATGATCTCATACCATTGTCTGACCAGGATTTTCAGTGCTTCAAATCGACAATCACTGATTCTTGCAATCAATACCTTAATGCTAAATCAAAAATGCCAGTCTTCTGACTAAAGAGCACAAAGAAGAACTTAAACTGTTGACGCATAACAAAGATATACTATTGACACGCCCTGACAAGGGTGCAGGTGTTGTTATTATGGATCGTAACGATTACACTGATAAAATGTCACATCTACCTTCGGACAACAGTAAGTTTATCAATTCACCTGCTCGTGTGGACCTAGGTATATCGGTCGTTCGACTCGAGTTTTGTCCAAGAGGGTGCAAGAACGCTATCCTGCATGGTTACGAAGAGGTGGAAATGGAGCAATAAGAAGCGCGATCATTGAACATCTGGTCGGTAATTATCACCTTATCTCTATAGCCTCCGCCTTTAAAGTCATCTACAAGGCAAAAGTAATTTACCGAAATCCCTGCGTACACGACTCATCTGTATTGTTGAGGCTTTGGCTATCGAAACAGGTAAGCCAGATCTGTGTACAGACAAAGTTCGTTCAACCCCTCCAACTTGCATGGTCTTAATCCCTCTATGCTAAAGTATGGTAATCTCTAATCATATTTTGGCTCCATCAATTTTTTTCATTTTGTCTATTCAATTTGTATACTCTTCCTTTATTACGTCAATTGTTACTATTACTATACTCACTTTTAACTATCCCCGGTATTATTTCACTTGTTCCACTTGTCATTCTAAATCAATTGTTTTGCAACATTAAATTCTATGTTACCAAATTTCACACAATATTACGTAACGTTTTTATTTTATTCGAGTTGTCTACTAATCCTATAATTGCACACCTTTTCCAAGTTCTATCCATCCTATGAACTATGCTATATATGATATTAATTACTTTGCCACTTAACATTTAACTATGATTTTAATCTCAAACATAATTGTTTTAATTGTATTTAATACTGGCGTAACGGCAGAAGTCAGCTGTCAGGCAACGGGTCGTTTTTTAAGGAAATCAATAGGTTTTGCTGTATATATATATATTTCATTGCATTATTATAGCTTATTCAAGGAGAGAAACACAGTCTTCTGATTGGTTAGTTGTTACAGAAAATTGACTTTGCATATCGTTGTGAGTGTTTCTTAAATGTCAGGTCGTCTACATGTTAAGTGCATCTGCCTACGCCAAGTCTGCCATGATATGTTGTTGAATCAGTCTTGTTCATATTTTCTCTCCGCCAATATTTGCTACACACTCATTGACGTAAAATACTGTCTATCACTTTTGGCTTGCCTCCTCTAACCACACAAGCACTATTATTGTTTTTTTATACATTCACGCCTATGATTCAATTCCCTCATGGAATATAACTTCCTAAAATGTACATATATATATATATGTATGAGTAATGTATGTTCATTTACTTTGAATTTGGTTGCATTGTTTACCACACTTTATAGTCTTAGTGTTGATAAATTTAATGAAGGAAAGGAGAACTTGGTAGGTCCGATCACGTCACAGTTAGCCTAGTGAAATACTTTCCTTAGTATATAGGAGGAACTGTAAGTTTTGTTTTTGGTAGGTATTGGGGTGATACTGGTGTGCAAATAACTGGCATTACGTAGCACAGCCTTGTACACTAATAATTCATCACCACGTCTTAACATTGGTGACTTAACCTTAATCTCCAAGCTTTGTTGGCAAAATTTATATAGTGTATAGAAACAGCGAATAAATCGAAATGTACTAAGGTTTAATTGCTATTCCGAATCGTATACATTTACATTGAGATTAGTTTAACGTAAATGGGTTATCAAGGCAATTTGGTTGCTTGTTTTGAACTTCTTAGACTAACCAGCACCAATATAGATAGATAGTATCTTCGCCTTATCAATTAATTTTCTTTACTGTTACACTTAAAACTACTGTTCACTGTGCATGCCTGTATTTGATTCTCAGTTTATACTGTTCTACATCTTATAGATGTGCCTAAAATGGCGCTTCCTCCATGTCATTGTCTTGTTCAATTTTTTGTTGCAAACGATGAATTGAGTTGTCAGTTGTATCAGCGTTCAGGAGATATGGTAAATATTTTCAGTTATTTACTGTTTTGTCTTCCTATTAATTATAAATTTTGAATTCTAGTGTCTTGAACAAGAAAGTACATTAGTTAGTGCTATTAAGCTTTTTATCTAGTGATACGGACAAAGTGCGTCGGTGGCACAGTGGTTAGGACTCTCGCCGACCATGCACATGGTCCGGGGTTCGAGCCCACGCCGACGCACACCTGATATCTATGGTTGGCCTGCGAATTTTGGGCTACCGATATCCACGCTGAAAATTCCATACTTGTACCAAAAATACGGTGTGGAATCAAGCTGTAACCAAAAATAAAATAAATAAAAATAAAGTATATTACACACTCTTTCTGACCAGTGTTTTATTTGATTGTATTGTGTGAACTGGACTGAAAGTAAAGTGATTAAATGTCTAAGATTGTTGGGAAAAAACTAAAATTAATCATGTAGGGAGATGTGGGCATCCTCGATGTGTCCATAAAACCATTATATGTAACATATTGTGATTAAGAAAGTTAATTGTGAATGCGTGCTTGAAACTAATCGTTTTCTAAGTTCCTATCGTGATTCTATATCTACTCGACTACTTTTTTATCGTCCTAATCATTGATATATTTGATGACCCTAAGTCAAAGTGTGTTAGTCAGTCGTAGATCAGCTGGTAAAGTGCATACTACTAATAGAAGAATAAAAAGTGTAGTCAGCCTTGCATGCAGCACTTCCACTTGAAGACTGCTAAAATTCAGAGCCTCCTTCAACATATATACTGAATGCTCGTTTGGTATTTTTCTACTTCTGTTATCTGTGGCATAGACGCGATGTTGACCTTCAGGTATGGTCGGTGGATTTATAGGAGTTAAAGAGACTAGAGATTTTCGATTTCTGATGAGTGCCTTCACTCACTCATGTTGAATAAGACAATATGATAATCAAGGTTAAAGTTGGACTTTTAGTGTTTAGGGCAAGTCGGTTGACACATTTATGAAGTTTCATTGATGGAGATGGCTAAAGTATGTACTACACATGTCTGGCTATCGTTTTCCTAAGAAAGCGATGTTAGTCAATGTAGCACTAAGTTAGAAAGGAGTTCGAGATGTTCAGACGAAAACAAATTACAAATTCATAAATTTTTTAACTGCTGGTCTTAATGCTGTAGGAGGCTGTATATTGCTTTGAATGGAATTCTCAAGATAGTCAAAGTCATTGATTGGAGACTGTGAAATCTTCTGCACTGGTGTATTTTTTTATTCCTTCACGTTCCCGGTGGAACATAGGGCTTCAAGCTAGAGACTTGAAGTCTTGGTAGCACCGTGTATTTTTACAGGATGGGGTTGCTAACCTCATGCCCAACTCCTTCCTGTTCACCAGCCTTATTTCTGGCTTAGTGAGGTAAAGAGGTGCGTCGGCTGGGGATCGAACCCCTCACCATGTGCTGGGTTGGCAAACGTCCTAGCCGCCGTGCCATCGACGCACCTTCTGCACTGGTGAGGGTGTATTTATTTGTCATCTTTCGAATTTTAAGTAGGTTCTTCTATATTCATTGAATTATCCTCTCAGTCACATTCATTTTTGTTTCTCTTAGCATCATTCTGTTTCTGGTCTTTCACTATAACCTTTACCAAAGCATGGTAACATGAAGTGATGCACTATCGTACTAAGTTCTATGTTGGTTTTTCTAAGCGATGGGGTAGCAATAGGAGTGTTTTTGCCTTGTGTTTATAAAGTACCACTTAGTTTATGAAGTTTGCGAAGTACGTCGCATGAAGATTTCTCTTATTCTGTTGCGTTCCGAGTTGAATATAGGACTTTCCTCTTCACTAGATTTATTTGCCGGTTCAGTGGAGTTTAGGAGTGTATCGGTCGGGAATCGGATTGGTACCACTGATCCACCGATGTACTGTGTCTGATGAAGATATTGAGATGAATTATTTTGATTTAATAAGTTTTCTTTTCTTTTGTGTGGTGTTGGTTGACTTTCCATTGAATTCAACATTTATTTTTGATTTAGGGTCTTGGAGTACCATTCAATATTGCTAGTTACGCTTTATTAACTTGTATGATTGCTCATATTACTGGATTAAAACCGGGTGAATTTGTGCATACATTGGGTGATGCACACATTTATTCAAATCATCGTGAAGCGTTACTTGAACAGGTAAATGTAATATTAGCACCACATAATACATTTTTGTGTTATTGTTAGACGTAATTTGGATTTCATACACCCGGCTCCTGTTATTCTTTAAAAAAAAACAATTGATATATTTGCAGGATGATACGAGCTAGTTTTATTTCGTTGATTCTTTTCAACTGCGTACATCCTAAACACAACATCAAAATATAGGTTACTTAATTTCTGAACAAGCGTCTATGGCACAGCAATAGAATGCTCGCCAACCACGCCATGTGGTCTGGGGTTCGATCCTCGGCCGACGCACTCCTTCACCTGGCTAGGCTGGTAGTAAGACTGGTAAAGAGGAAAGGTTGGACATGAGGCTATCAATCCTATCCCGTAAAAGTGAACACCTCTGCTACCGAAACTTCAAGCCTCTAGCTTGAAGCCTTATGTTCCACTGGGAACGTAAAGGAATAAAACCAAAATAATTTCTGAACATACTTTTTCTCTGTGGCGTGGAGTTGTAGATAGATGGATATTGTGACTAACTGCTCACTATCCCGGTTACTATAATTGTTTTGATCGTGCGATTTTGTGTTTTGTCCTGCTGCGTAACATTCCACCTGATTTTGATTTTCACTTACTCAGTTGAAGTCACTTAAGTTTCTAAATTCATTTAATTGTTTGTCTATGTCATAATTTTACTTTACTATTCTCTCCTACCCTCCTGAACTCTCCACCATATAATATGTATAAATTCACTCTATTGTTATATCTTGTAATTTGTCTCTAGTCCATCCCTACTTCCAAGCGAAATCTGAACTCTACCCTCTTGTCTAATTACTGTGTAAATAGTTATTCTTTTAACACTAAATAATTGTTTACTTACATTATCTTTGAAATTATGTTGCCTGTACTTTCTGTCTATAACTTGAAGTCATTGTAAAAAGTATGTTCAGGAATTTTTGTAACATATGATTGATTTTTTTAGGTTGTACACAGCTGAAGAGAATCTACGAAATAAAACTAGCTCGTGTCATGATCCTGCAAATATAAATTATTCATGCTTTCTTTAAAGTCCTTTGGATTTCCTTATTGCATATATGAGATATTAATTCGATGAACAGATCAAACCAGGGATTAATCTATCATTTCACCTTTTCAATTATTGGTTTTATAGGGATTTTTGTTTGATTGCATGGAGGATTTCACCATGAGCTGACATCAGCTAGAGAACCACTGGAGATACTGTGAGTACTGGACAGCTGTTTCGTCAGCCTAGTTTGGGACTCTTCAGTAGTACACACCCATCGGGATTCGAACCCAGGACCTTCTGGTCACAAGGCGAGCTCGTAGACCATTGAGCCACTGGGACCCGATTCAGTGGCCCATGAATTCTAACTTCTGCCAATTCACGACATAGCGCGACCATTTCGCAATGTCTTCTTCGATGAGTTACTGCCTCACCTTTTTTTAGAGTGAATTTATTAGTAAATCAAGTTTCTCTGAGTCTAGCTACTAGCCTCAAGTTAATATTACACGGTAATCACTCAATCAGAATCTACAGTCTATTAACAATTTAAATGTGACATTGTTTACATCTGACAACACTGACTCCGTCCATCAAACTTGTGATTACTTCAGCGTATAGTTGTTCGCATTTTTTGTTGTTGTTGTTCTCAAGATATATTTCACATAGATGTGTATTCTCCTTCTAAGATTTGATTGGTTTGTCAATTTGCTTGAATTTTCTTCCTCTAGGTTAAACGTGTACCACGACCTTTTCCAAAATTAGAAATTGTGCGTGAAGTGAAAGATATTGAAGATTTTAAATATGAAGATTTCAAACTTATTGATTATAAGCCCTATCCAAAATTACCTATGAAAATGGCAGTTTAAGGGGAATGATGAATAATCGGTCTACTATTGCTATTCTATTGTCATAGTTTGGATATGAGGCTTTTTTACCCCGCTGATTATATATAAGTGCTAAATATCTATTTGATTATTTTTTTTATTACGCTTTTGTACTTGTCTATTTTATTTGAGAAGAAAATAAATACTTTGTGTGTGTATTTATGTGTTTATTTTAACATTAGGAATAATACATTTTAATATGAACTCTGATCAAAAGTTAATCGAATGGTTCCACTGACATGGGGCATCGAAGGAAAAATAGACATATGTGAAAATTATGTTTTTATAAATCTTTCGATTTTCAAGTATTCGTTTATAGGGATTGGGTTGATTGGTTGAAGGATATCATCATGTCCTGGTATTGGTTAGAGAATCATTGGAAAATCTGGAAGTACTGGACATTTATTTCGGCATAGTTTGGGACTCTTCAGAAGCACGCATCCACCGGGGTTCAAACCCAGGACCTTCTGGTTACAAGGCGAGCTCGTATACCATTAAGCCACTGGGACCCGAATAAATGGCCCATGAATTCTAACTTCCGCCAATTCACGACATAGCGCGGCCGCTAGCCGAAGTCTTTGTATTTGTCCTCACACCCGACCTGCTGCACCCTGATTTATCGGGTCTCAGTGGCTTAATGGTATACGAGCTCGCCTTGTAACCAGGAGGTCCTGGGTTCGAACCCCGGTGGGAGCGTACTGATGAAGAGTCTCAAACTAGGCTGACGAAACAGCTGTCCAGCACTCCCAGGTTTTCCAATGATTCTCTAACCAATGTCAACTCTTGATAAAATCCTGTGACCAATCTCTCGATTTTCACCACGAATGTAAAGTCAGTCAGATCTTCTCTACGGGTCAGAAATTTGGCCAGCGTGTCACGGAAAGCATTTCCAACTGGCCACTGCAGACTTGTAGCAATAGCTGCTTTATATGACACTATACTGGAGGTCAGATAGTGGGCCAGAATGAATTAGCAACAAGGAACTATGGGGACAAACCAACTAAGAGCCCATTGCTCAACAAATATGTAGGAGAAAATGCAGATGGAACGGGCACACACTGAGGATGCCGTCGAATGACATTGCTCACAATGGAGACCATCACTCCAGTAGAACCTGAATGGGAAGCGACGAGTGGGTCATCGATTCGAGGGTGACATGGAGGAGATAGTGCGAGTTGCAGAAGAGAGATTATGGTCAGTTGTGGACCCAGCTGAAGAGGACAACAGAAAATAGAAGGAAGTGGATATGTGTAGTTGAAGCCCTATGTTCCACTCGGAACCCAAGGGAATAATGATAGTAAATATCGTTGACACTGAAGTAATTTCAACATTTCATCTGGCAAACTGATCCGAAAAGGTATATATATATAATTATTGTCTCCCTTATTTCCTAGGGGAACATAGGTCTTCAGCCACACGTTCGGTTCTCTGCTAACGTTTTCACCTGGCTCCACTTCAGCCCACATGCTTTCATCTTTTCTTCACATGACCTCCTTCATGTCACAATTGCAACGATGACCAAATCGCCGCTTCCCGTTCAGGTTCCACTCAAGGGCTTGTCTAGTGATGTCAATTGATGGTTTTCTCAGAGTATGGCCAATCCACCTCCATTTCTTCTTACAGATTTGTTGCACAATCGGTTCCTAGTTGGTTCGCTCCCAGAGATCTCTCCCTGTTGCTGATCTTTTTTGGTCATCTGATCTTCAGTATTGAACAAAGACAGTTGTTGATGAAGGTCTGTAGTTTGTTCGAAGTGCTCTTCATGACGCACCAATATATGTATGTATATATTTAACAAGGCGCATCTTTTCTTAAATCATCTTGTCCACTCATGTCTTAGTTATGAATGATTAGTGATAAAAATGAAATCAAATTGTGTGTGCATTGCGGACAAGATATGACTGAATAGTTTCACATAACCAGTCTTCTTCTGTTATATGCTGTAAACCTTGTGTGAACTTTTACATCAACGAAAACAAAACACGTTGTTCGGTGAACTTATTTTTTTAGCTGTACAATCGCAATTATATACAATTTTTCATGAAAGAGGGTAGTAACAGAAGTGATGAGTTGTCACAACCCTAGTTGTTAATATTAGTCAATGCATAAGAGGAGTGGAATAAGTGTATTAGAGTTGCAAAATAATGTGGATAATTTAATGAGTGAGTTGTAATCATGATGCACATAGAGAAACGAAGGAAAATATGGAATTATGTAAGGTTATGATCATAGGTGTCTGCGTTCTATCTCACGTGTTAACTAGTATCATAAGGGGAGCAATATTGAGGTTAGGCATCGGTCGGGCGCTAGGTAAGGAGGGGAAATCAAATGACCAGGTTGTGAAGTTATATCGATTAAGATGGTTAGGACATGTGTTACGCATGCCTAGCCATTGCCTCCTTAGATGGGCGATGTTAACTGACATAGGTTGGAGCAGACTGGTAAAGAGCTAGTGGTGGTCAAACCAAAACATGGCTTCATCAGTCAATGATATCTGTGACAGTCATTTTAAGCAAGGTAGGCAGATGTAGACTTCCTGGTTGGTTGGGGTCCTCGGGATGGTGAAAACCAATGGTTGGAGATAATTTGTGGTATGGTTCAAAGTCATTCCCAATGGGGGAGATGCAGTTACTCTTTGTGATTTATAATATCCAATAACTTCTATTATTCTCCCATATTACTGTTCTTTTCGCCTCATATTTCTGTTTATTATCTCTCTTTTGAATCTCTCTTCTCTTGCTTTGTGTGCTACAGGGAGTGATTTAGAAAAGCAAATAAGCAAAAATCAAAACAGTAGAAGTCAATAAGTTTGTTGACTTGACAAGAGTGGTTGAATAATTTTCGTTTGTACGCATAGCTCCGTTTTCTCTGTCTGAATGACTAGAACTTCAGGAATGCAAAGGAGACGAAAGCGCATTTCTTTTGGTACGTTGTTCTTCATTTAATAGATTACTCTGAAGGAGGCGTTTGTTGAGTGCACTGGAGTGGGTCGACAAGGTGTTCGACTATCGCACTCCTTATAGAACCACTACTGCCTTTCTGCCATCATGCGGGTTAGTGTTATTAAACCTTTTTAGACAAGATACACATTAAACGATCGACATATCTGCCTCCAAAATAACAGGTCAACTAATATATTCACGTCGAAGTGCTCAGATGCGAGATATTGTTCCTAAAGCCTCTGTAGACCGGTGGACGGCTGCAGAACACTAGTCTTAGGATTGCTGTAAATACTGTTCTCAAAGATACTGAGATTACTCTCTTAGGAATATTGCAGACTAAGTTCCCCCTAAAAACACCACCTAGATTACTAGCTCGCTAGTTTTCTAGCCAGTCCCAAGCCCGGATAAAGAGGGAGGGTTGGAGCGTGTTGCTAGCAACTCCACCCCAAAACTCAACCAAATCGCTACAGAAACTTCAACGCACAAATACATTAAAAATTCTAAAAATATAAACAATAACCTTATTTTTCGCTGGAATCGGGGAAGTGAAATGACGCAGGCTGGTGAAAGCCTTCGGGAAGCCAGTCAGCCGATGTGCCTTCTTTCGATGAAAGCAAAAGTAAGGATGGGTACCTGGAATGTTCGTACAATGTACGAAACTGGAAAGGCTGCCCAGATAGCCGCTGAAATGAGAAGATATAGAATAGAAGTGTTGGGAATCTGCGAGAGCAGATGGAACGGAACTGGAAGGTGCCAACTACCAAGTGGAGAGATAATAATCTATTCCGGCCACCCAGAGGACAACCACGAGCACACCGAGGGAGTGGCCATCATGATGTCACCAACAGCAGCCAAAGCTCTCATGCAGTGGGAACCAATCTCCTCCAGGATAATGACAGCCAGGTTCAACTCAAAAGGAAGGAAGGTTACAGTCATTCAATGCTATGCGCCTACAAACGTCTCAGAACAAGAGAAGAAGGAGGCGTTCTACAGACAACTACAAACAATAATGGACAACGTCCCAAATGGCGATATCAAAATCCTGATGGGCGACATGAATGCGAAGCTGGGAGGAGACAACACAGGAAGAGAACTCACCATGGGTCGTGAGGCCCTCGGTGAAATGAACGACAATGGTGAACTCTTCTCAGACTTCTGCGCCTTCAATGATTTGGTGATTGGTGGTAGTGTGTTCAAACACAAGGATATACACAAGACGACATGGATTTCACCAGATGGAAACACCAAAACCAAATAGACTTCATCTCAATTTCAAGAAAGTGGAGACGGAGCCTACTGGACACAAGGTCAAGGAGAGGAGCAGATGTGGGTTCAGACTATCTAGTAGAAGGGACTTTCAAGGTGAAACTAAAAGCCTCGAGGATAGCTGGGGATAGGCCACAATGCAAGTTCAACACTCAATTACTGAAGGACACAACCACAAAAGACACTTCACTGCAACTGTCAGAGCAAAGCAGGAAACACTACGCGACATCACTGAAGAATCATGCGTGGAAGAACATTGGAAGTCTCTGAAGGCGATTCTCAACGAAACGTGTTCAACGGTTCTAGGAAGAAAGAAGAGACAAGACAAGGAATGGCTCTCAACGGACACTTGGAAATTAATAGAAGAGAGGAGAATGGTGAAAGAGAAAATGATTCAATGCAAGGACGGACAGGAGAAGGAGACGCTGAGCTCAACTTACACAGCACTGGACAAAGAAGTGAAGAAGAGTGCTAGGAAGGACAAAAGACGATTCTACGACAATCTGGCCACTGAAGCTGAAAAGGCAGCAGGCAAAAGGGACCTGAGGACACTATATCAGATAACCAAATCTCTATCCGGGAAGAGATCAACACAAGCGAAACCTATAAAAGACAGCCAAGGGAACCCAATTACCAAGGAAGAAAAACAGATTAAACAATGGGCGGATCACTTCAAAGGACTCTTGAACCGACCATCACCTGCAACCCGTCCAGAAATACCAACAACAGCGCGTACACAACTGCAAGTTGACACCAATCCTCCAACGAAAGCTG